TATGTGCCGGCACATTCGTGCGAGTCGTTCATGAGCGACCCAGCTCTAGTGGGTGGACTGACGAACGATCCTAGCTGTTGTACTGGGTGTGCGAGTATAATTCCATGCCGGTAGGGGCAAATAGCTCTCGAAGTAGTTGTTTCTCGCAGCACCGACAAATCAAACATATATACAGGGTGAGTCAGAAAGAATGGATCAACACTAAACTGGAGATACTAGACATCAAAATATAATGTTTGAGCTCATCATGCCTTATACGAATGTCGCTGGTTTAAGAAATACAGGGTGTTTAAAGTTTAAATTTTATTTTGAAATTTCTCAATAATTGGGAAAGTTTTAATAGCATGACTGAAAATTGGTACTATTGGGTATAAGGCATGATGAGCTCAAACATAATATTTTGGTAAAATAACTCTTTTATTATCTGACGAATCTAATGCAACTTTATTCACATTAATGGTGAAATTTTCATGATTAACATTTCTAATTGTATTGAAATTAACAATTTTCTGTTTGTTCTTAAAAAGACTATTAAAAAATCCTCAAAACTTATATCTTTCGCACCAGCTTTGCTTACACCTTTTATCTTACACCTCACGTCGCAACCATCGACTTTATAAGTATATACTTTGGATCTTAATGAAATACATTCTGTCATTATTTTTCATTTTAGTTCGTCTTTCATAAAACCGCGTAATTTATTATTAACCCTTTCAATACCAAAAATGTTATTATCCGAATACTCAAAAATATCGAAATATGTGCGAGCATCTCTTTTAATAATATTATAAATAGTTATGGTATTTACTCCACTTTTAAGAGTGAATTCGAAAACAAATGAGTCTGTATCTGTATAACATATTTTTGATATCAGATATCATCTTTTACATATTCGTAATAAAAATCATAAAGCTAATTTTTCGATAACTCTAAGATGTAAGTCCGGTATATGTATATCGGTTTTTTAAATAAAATTTCTGTTTTTTGTAATTCCACGGATATTATTATGAATCTCGGAAAATTGTCGATCTTGTGATCACATGACATTTATCTGCGATTTCGAAGCGGAATTAATTTTTTGCAGTTTTCTTTTTTTTAGTATGTTTTCAAGTCATTCAATTTTCAAGGAATCTACGAACCACTTAGTTGCATTCGCACCCCTATATATCCTAAACTTCTCATATTTTTCGTTAAAAGAGCAAACTAAAGTGTAAGCAACGCTAGAAGGCTCATGTTTTTCGGATTTAATGGTAAAAGAAGCTAATGGATTAGGTAAACCTAAATTCAATTTTCTTGTAAAACATTCAAAATCAGCATATATAGCGAAAGGTTTCATTATTAAAGTTTTAAAATTGGTAAATTCTAATACATTATTTGTTTTGTCAGGTAACGAAATTTTAACAGGATTAAATAAAGATTTTTATGATCGATAAGCTTAGACTCTATTGAAAAATGATTAAGACATGAATCACAAACGAATATTTTTGATTTATGATTAGTAACGTTTTTCGTAACTAATTCTGAAAGATCAGTGATCAAACAATAATGACCGATCCTCATAACTGCTGAATAATTCATCCAAACTCTGGTTGTTTGTATTACAAGTCATATGTATACATCTCCATGCCTTTTTTTAAATTCATTAAGAAATCTTGCTACTCTTCATAATCGAATCCTCTATTAAGTGAGGAAAATTGTTACAATTCTGCCAAATCTATTTGCCATAGATCATTTATACCCTTAATAATAGTACTACCAATTTCAAATTTTCTTCTAGCGGGCTTGTGTAATTCTTTAACAATTTGTTTTTGTAGGTTTAATTTTATGCGACATTTTTGTTATCAATATCTATATGTTTGTATGTCTACTCACGTTACTTAACTACTATTCAGTTTTGTCTAATCGCGAGTTTATTACTTTGACATCATTGGTGAAACGTTTATCAAGAACCGGTCGCGTTTTAATCTTTTTTCCGAATTATCAATTAAAAATTTCATTCTATTTTCAACCATTTGAAGTATGACGCTTTCTATATTACGAGTCTCATTGTGAAAATTATTTGTTGTCATAGAAATTAAGTTATCTACATAACTCTTCGTTGTAGAATCTTGAGGTTTAGAGGGATTGTTCACATTACATATTCTGTTAAAATCAACATCGTAATCTCCATTCGGTGTATTTTTTAACTGATACCGAACGGCATATAAACTATCATTTTCTTTCATTTTTCGTATGTACCGATGGCCTCGTCCGAATTTATCTAATGACATTATAATAAACAAATTAATATATTACTCTGGCTTCTTTTAACTCTTGTTCGATAGAACGAATTTCATTTAAATGAGAATCGTTTCCTGCTCTCGATGATGCGTGCAGTAGCGCGACTCGAGAAATAAGCTCATTTATATTATTCCAATATACAGGGTGGCCATATGAAAACGAAACAGAGACATTTTCAGGAACTGCGTCAAGATTGTAGAAAAATGCATAGACCCGTCGATTTTAGATTAAAGGGGGACATTATGGTATTTTTGACTCCACCACTTTCACCCCCAAGCAAGGGTAAGCTTAATGGCATTGGGGGTTGAGTAATATTTCTTTTGAAAGCTGCTGAAAGCAATTCTCTTTACAACAGACTTTAAATTTTATAATTCCGCCCAATACTTATTAAGAATTTTTAAGTTGAAACTTATGTACAAACAATTAGTAACGGTAAAAATGTCATTCGAGTTAAATACGCCAGTGGTATAAATTTAGTATTTCTTGCGTTACACTGGTTTTAGGTGAATTATCACTTTCGTAAAAACAAACACAATTGTAAAAAACAGAAATGAATGCTATACACTCAATGAACGTAAAATTAGTGGATTCCAAATTATTTTCTAGTAAATATTATTTGGAAGCATTGGTTGGTAGTTGCGTTTTTGAAAATAAACACTATGGTTTATTTCATTGCGGAAAGGGTAGATATCATTTCGCTTTACTTTATGAACAATAAATGTGCGAATAGAACAGCTCAGCTATTTAATGAACAACATCAAGATCGACATGTCAGGAGGAAATATGTTCTAGAGTTAGTAAAAAAATTTCAAGTGACTGGTAACGTAGCCAATAAAAAACGAGAAATTGAAACATCTATAGTTAATGAAGCTAGTGAAGCTGCAGTTTTGGGACAAGTTCATCTTGATTCTACATTAAGTACGAGGCAGCTGGCATCTGTGTCTGGGATCAATCGAACTAGCATACAAACCATTTTGGAGAAGAATAAATTCCATCCATCCAAAATACATTAGTCCAGGAACTTCTTGAGGATGATTATGAACGCCGTTTGCAATTTTGCGAAATAATGAGTGAGCGAGCAGGGAACGATCCACAGTTTCTTTTTAACTAGTGCTGGCAACTGAAATCGGTTTTTTGGATAGTCGGTTAACCGGTTTCGGATAATTCGGATTTTTACGAAACCCGAAAACCGGTTATTCGATTCTTCAAATATTTGATTATTCAAATAACCAATTATTCAATAATTGGATTATTTCTTTATAGCCAATAACTACATAACAACATAATATAGTCTTAGTGTTATGTAGTTATTGGCACAGGCTACATAGTACATACATATTAGAAGGGGATGAACTATTAAGGGAAATACAATTTATTTTTATATTTTATCCTGGGACACAGACACAGACTGATAAAAAAACAGTGACCCACACCCACATACACCAAACGACCAAATCCATTTATATAAATAAATAAATTGAAGAATCACATTAACAAGTGCAACTGTTTTAACTGTTTTAACATTTTAACTTTTAACATTAGATTTACCTAACTTTAAAATTTAAAATATGTGAATATGTGAATAACATCGTATATCTCCTCAGTTTTACAAAGCACCGATTTTCAGATATCCGATTTTGGCCATTATTCGAGTAACGGGTTATTCGAATATCCGGTTTTGGAATATCCGGTTTTAGCAACTATTCGACTAACCGGTTTTATCTGAAATCGGTTTTTACGGAACCCGGTTAACCGGCACTTTTTTCCGGTTTTTGTCAGCGATATTTTTAACATCTGTTTTTCTGGTGAATGCAATTTTTTCTTGAACGGGACGGTAAATCGTCACAATTGCCGCTATTGTCCGATTCAAACCCAAGAGTTTTTCACGAGGTGCATACACAGCAACCGGAAAAATTAAATGTATGGGCTGGAATTTTCGGTGACCGGCTGGTGGGTCCTTTTTTCCACTTGGTAATTTGACTGGCCAAATGTATTTACAATTACTGGAAGACGCTATTGACCCTGCCTTGACTAATATTATTGAAAATGTTTCACTTGTATGATGAAGATCATTTGATTTTTCAACAGGACGGTGCTCCTCCACATTATGCGTTAATTGTCCGTCAGTATTTGGACCAACGTTTTCTACGGAATTGGATTGGGAAAAGATGCAGCATTGAGTGGCCTCCACGATCACCGGATTTATCACCCCTTGATTTCTTTCTGTGGGGATACCTAAGAAGTAAAATCTATAAAACACAGCCAGCGTCGCTGGAAGATTTGCGTGAAAGAATCGTCGACAAATGTCGTCGAATCACTCCGGAAATGCGAACGTTTCGAGCAAAATCTTTATTGTTGTATGGAAGCGGGCGGTCATCAATTTGAACATTTAATGAACTAAGTAGTAAGTAAGCATTGTCGGCACACACGTTTAATTTTATTTTATTGCATTATCTGGCTGTGTTGAGCCAAATATATTGAATATTCATTGTGTGATCTCCCAATTGAACTAGATAGTAAAACTCATTTCACATGACATATGTTGTATTGACAGTTTGTTAATTTTGAGATATATAATTCATTCCCGTGTAAAAATATACAGAATAAAGTGATAGTTTCATGTTAACTAGTGGTTTAAAAACAGAATTGATATAGTGGCGACCGTGACAGGACTCAAATAGAAGGAAAACGTATATTGGTAGTGTGGCACGGGAATCGAAATGGAAATCCACAAAAAGGATCGTAAAGTACGGAGAGCAGTTTTTACGAAAAATGCTAACGAACTGGAAGTCTTATTGTCTGCTGCGGATAAGTCGGCTCGTTCCATTAAGCTGACCTGGGAAGTAGTGCAACAAAAATATTCGGATCTGCAAATTGTGGATGAAAAGGTGTACGAGCTGCTTTTAGAAACAGATGCCGACGAAAAGGAGCTAGCTGAGGAGATGGAGATTCGAGATACTTATTTGAAGAAGTACACAAATCTTAGGCTCAAGGTTGAGGAATCTAGCTTAGACAACGACATACACAGCGAGCATAGTGCCAATTCTCGAGTAAGCCAGCATAGTAGTCAAGAACGATTAGGTAAGCGTCAGTTTAAGTTACCTACAATAGAATTCAGGAAATTCGGTGGAGATGTTCGAGAGTGGCTAGGTTTTTGGGCCCAGTTTAAAAAAATCCACGATGACCCTGACATTGATTCACATGATAAAATTGTTTACTTAATACAGGCTACAGTACCCGGCAGCAAAGCTCGACAACTTGTGGAAAGCTATCCTGCTATGCAAGAAAACTATTCAAAAATCATTGATAGTCTAAAGGCTAGATTTGGTCGCGATGACATTCTTATTGAGGTGTATGTGAGGGAACTTTTAAAGCTCATTTTGAGTAATGCCATGGCCCAAGACAAGATGGATATTTCCACTCTCCATGATAAGATTGAAAGTCACTTACGAGCTCTTGAAACTCTAGGAATAACAAAAAATAATTGTGCTTCGATGTTATTTCCCTTGATCGAGTCATGCTTACCTGAAAATCTTTTAAGAGCTTGGCAACGTTCGGCTCAATACGTGAGCAGTCTAAAACAGAAAACAGAGATTTCCGATGAAGAATCACCTTCTGAAAGTCGTTTAGATGGGCTGATGAATTTTTTAGGAGTTGAAGTAGAAAACGAACAGCGAATTTTGCTGGCTACTGAAAGTTTCGGACTCAACACGATTTCTTCAGACAAAAAACTATTTCGGTCAGAGAAAGTTAAACAGAAATTCGGGAACAAATGTACAGATGAGCGGACAGCAACTGCCGCTGGACTTGTTAATTGTGATATTACTACCAAATGCACCTTTTGTGAAGGTTCGCACGAAACTGAAAACTGTTTTAAGTTCAGAAAACATTCTTTAGAAGAAAAGAAGAGCATTCTTTCAAAAAGGGGAGCATGTTTTAGATGCCTAAAGATGGGACACTTGGCAAGAAAATGCCATGCACGAGTGAACTGCATGGTATGCAACAAATCACACGTTACGATGATGTGTCCAGAAATACTGGCTAACAAAGCGAAAAATGAGGCTTCTTTGATAGCAGAAGAGGAAAAAGAGAAAAAATCTACTGAACAAGCGCTATCGTGCCAAACTTCCTCGCATGTTTTTATGCAAACAATTAGAGTAACCATAAGCAATGGTTCTGCTTCAAAAGAAATTCGAGCGTTGATGGATACGGGATCGCAGCGATCATATATCTTGAAGGACACCGCTAAAGAACTAGGTTATGTTCCATTTAAAACAGTAACAATCACTCATGCTTTGTTTGGAGGACAGAAAACAGAGGAGCAATCTCATAATTGTTATAAAATTAGAATCGGCGATAACAATTATAATTGCACCATGGAAATGTTGGATCAAAATCAAATTTGTAGCAGTATCCAGCCAATACATTTCGGTGAGTGGATTGAAGAATTGAAGGCGAAAAATATTCATTTGAGCGATGTAGGCAGTCAGGGACCTATAGAGGTGTTACTCGGAGCCGATGTAATTGGAAAATTATATACTGGCCGTAGACACTTGTTGAAATCCGGACTAGTCGCTGTAGACACCTTGTTGGGTTGGACTTTAATGGGGAAAGTTCCTAATGCGGAGAGAAGTACGAATTTAGTAAGCATGTCCATGTTAGTCAAAGATGCGCCTATTTCCAACTTATGGGCACTGGATGTGTTAGGTATTACCGATCCGGCTGAGACGAAAAACAGACAGGAATTGGCTTTAGCGGCAAAGGAAATGTTTCAGCAAACAGTTAGAATTAACGAGATGGGCAGATATGAAGTACGACTTCCATGGTTAGAAGGCCATGCCCCGTTGTCGAGAAATTACGATGTTGCGAGAAAAAGATTAGATTCGACTACAAAAAAGTTGAAAAGAAACCACATATTGGAATCATATGACCATGTTTTCCAAGAATGGCTTCAGGAAGGAATCATAGAAGAGGTGCCCAATAACGAGTTAGGAAACGAAGCTGCTCACTATTTACCACATAGAGCCGTAATCAAAGAAAACAGCACTACGAAGATACGGCCTGTGTTCGATGCATCTTCATGTGAAAAAGAAAAACCTTCACTGAACAGTTGTTTAGAAACTGGACCCAATTTGATAGAATCTATCCCTTCAATACTGTTGAGATTCAGATTGTATAGTTTTGGAGTCATATCTGACATAAAGAAAGCCTTTCTGCAGATCAGCTTGAGTCAAAAGGACAGAGATTTTGTCAGGTTTTTGTGGATAGGAACGGATGGCGAAGAAATAACTTATCGACACAAACGTGTGGTATTTGGTATCAGCAGTAGTTCATTTCTTCTTGGTGCAACTATTGAACATCATCTTGCCTTATGTAGAAAAAAATCCAGCAGAACTGGTACTTTTTACTCCCCAGAAACAATAGATAAATTGTCTGAAAGCTTCTACGTCGACAATTGTGTTACGAGCCTGGAAGACGAAGCTTCATTGAACCGCTTTATAAGTGAGTCCATCGCTGTTATGAACGAATGCAGTTTTGATCTCAGAGGGTGGGAGTATACACAAGGAAAGGATGCCTCAACGGAAGTTGAGCCTATATCTGTGCTTGGATTGTCTTGGTATCCGAACAACGATGTGTTAGCGATCACTAAAAATTGAATCGAAGCGAGCTCTGGAACGATAACCAAAAGACAGATTATTTCGATGGCACAGAAGGTTTTCGACCCTATTGGCTTCACTTGTCCTACATCTTTATACCCCAAACTATTATTACAGAAAACATGGAAGCAAAAGCTGGGTTGGGACGATCCTGTAGATGAAGAACTTAAACATTATTTTAGTGCTGCTCGACGTATTAACTGGCGTTTCAACCCTCCTGCGGCTCCATGGTGGGGAGGATTTTGGCAAAAACTCATTGGAATCCTTAAGAAACTGCTACGTAAAATTTTGCAACGCGCTTCTTTATCATATAAAGAATTATTGACTATTATTTGTGACTGCGAAACTATTGTGAACTCCAGACCTCTTACATATGTATCTGATGAACCTTCCGAATTGGCGCCTTTGACTCCTAATATGTTTTTATAAGATATAGTGGAATGCGGAGTTCCTGATTGTGATGGCGTGGACAGAGACTCTTTGAAGCGACGTATCGCATATAGACAAAAGCTACGAGACGCACTACGTGCCCGTTTTCGTAGTGAATATTTGGGACAACTGAAGCTCGCGAATAATAAAGCACCTTCGAGACCTATTTTTTTAAATGAAGTAGTTCTTGTTGGAATTGATAAAACGAAGAGATTGGACTGGCCTTTAGGACGAGTTATCGAATTAATCCCTGGTAGAGATGGTAAAATTCGTCTTGTTCGTCTTCAAACCGCTTGTGGCCAACTTTTACGCCCGATACAAAGATTATACCCTCTGGAGGTAATAGATCAAGAGATTTCTGCCTATCAAAAATATGAAGAAGCTAGTGCTAGTGCGGGAGTGAAAACCAAAAGCAGAGTACCCGAAAACATCTACAGAGAATGTGCGGGAGTGAAAAGCAAAGTACTTAGAAGTGATAAAAATTAATCCATCAAACTTAAATTTAGTGGACGTATATTAAGACCTCCTAAAAGGTTCCCTTAATGAGATTTATGTTACATGTGCCTTTATTTTTTGTGAGTCACATTATTTAGTTTCACCTAATGTTACTCAGGTGGGAGTATGTCGGCACACACGTTTAATTTTATTTTATTGCATTATCTGGCTGTGTTGAGCCAAATACATTGATTATTCATTGTGTGATCTCCCAATTGAACTAGATAGTAAAACTCATTTCACATGACATATGTTGTATTGACAGTTTGTTAATTTTGAGATATATAATTCATTCCCGTGTAAAAATATACAGAATAAAGTGATAGTTTCATGTTAACTAGTGGTTTAAAAACAGAATTGATAAGCATAATTACATAATTTAAATTTTAAAATGTAATTTTTTTTTCAAAGTATTTGGCGGAATTATAAAATTTAAATTCTGTTGTAAAGAGAATTGTAAGAGCTTTCAAAAGAAATATTACTCAACCTCCAATGCCATTTAAGTATTTTGGGGTGATGCTTGGGGATGAAAGTGGCGGAGTCAAAAATATCAGCAAAGAATGTCCCCCTTTAATCTAAAATCTACGGGTCTGAGCGTTTTTCTACAATCTTGACGCAGTTCCTGAAAATGGCTCTGTTTCGTTTTCATTTGGCCACCCTGTATATATTCCACTGGCTTCGTATTAAAGACATTCATATTTCCTCCATCGTATTTTTTTTCTGGGTGTCCTTTACAATTACTAATAATTTAATAATATGTTTCCATTTCCACGATTTATTACCTTTTAATTGACTGGAAGGGTTGAAGTTTCTATATTGTAAATTAGATAATAATGCTATATTTTTATAATATTCCATATCGGTCTTATTGAAATTATCAGGACTTTTCTTAAAAATTAACTCATACAGTCTCTCGGAAGGACTGCTCACCTTAGTCTACAAGTAGTATATGGCGCGTCAAAAAGTCCATGAACTTTCTGCCGTGTGGTAAATAAGCTGCTGAGTCGATGTGGAGCATTTTTTCTCATACCACATATATATGCAGAACGGCCATTTTCGAGATAGAGGGGGGGGGGGGGAAATCTGGGGAAAAAGTGGACCCTAACCGTCTGGAAGCAACGGTAAGTCAAAGCATCCATTTTTTATAAACCGGCAAAAATAGTGGCAGACAAAACTTTATAATAAATAAGTNAGTTTTTCACGAGGTGCATACACAGCAACCGGAAAAATTAAATGTATGGGCTGGAATTTTCGGTGACCGGCTGGTGGGTCCTTTTTTCCACTTGGTAATTTGACTGGCCAAATGTATTTACAATTACTGGAAGACGCTATTGACCCTGCCTTGACTAATATTATTGAAAATGTTTCACTTGTATGATGAAGATCATTTGATTTTTCAACAGGACGGTGCTCCTCCACATTATGCGTTAATTGTCCGTCAGTATTTGGACCAACGTTTTCTACGGAATTGGATTGGGAAAAGATGCAGCATTGAGTGGCCTCCACGATCACCGGATTTATCACCCCTTGATTTCTTTCTGTGGGGATACCTAAGAAGTAAAATCTATAAAACACAGCCAGCGTCGCTGGAAGATTTGCGTGAAAGAATCGTCGACAAATGTCGTCGAATCACTCCGGAAATGCGAACGTTTCGAGCAAAATCTTTATTGTTGTATGGAAGCGGGCGGTCATCAATTTGAACATTTAATGAACTAAGTAGTAAGTAAGCATTGTCGGCACACACGTTTAATTTTATTTTATTGCATTATCTGGCTGTGTTGAGCCAAATATATTGAATATTCATTGTGTGATCTCCCAATTGAACTAGATAGTAAAACTCATTTCACATGACATATGTTGTATTGACAGTTTGTTAATTTTGAGATATATAATTCATTCCCGTGTAAAAATATACAGAATAAAGTGATAGTTTCATGTTAACTAGTGGTTTAAAAACAGAATTGATATAGTGGCGACCGTGACAGGACTCAAATAGAAGGAAAACGTATATTGGTAGTGTGGCACGGGAATCGAAATGGAAATCCACAAAAAGGATCGTAAAGTACGGAGGGCAGTTTTTACGAAAAATGCTAACGAACTGGAAGTCTTATTGTCTGCTGCGGATAAGTCGGCTCGTTCCATTAAGCTGACCTGGGAAGTAGTGCAACAAAAATATTCGGATCTGCAAATTGTGGATGAAAAGGTGTACGAGCTGCTTTTAGAAACAGATGCCGACGAAAAGGAGCTAGCTGAGGAGATGGAGATTCGAGATACTTATTTGAAGAAGTACACAAATCTTAGGCTCAAGGTTGAGGAATCTAGCTTAGACAACGACATACACAGCGAGCATAGTGCCAATTCTCGAGTAAGACAGCATAGTAGTCAATAACGATTAGGTAAGCGTCAGTTTAAGTTACCTACAATAGAATTCAGGAAATTCGGTGGAGATGTTCGAGAGTGGCTAGGTTTTTGGGCCCAGTTTAAAAAAATCCACGATGACCCTGACATTGATTCACATGATAAAATTGTTTACTTAATACAGGCTACAGTACCCGGCAGCAAAGCTCGACAACTTGTGGAAAGCTATCCTGCTATGCAAGAAAACTATTCAAAAATCATTGATAGTCTAAAGGCTAGATTTGGTCGCGATGACATTCTTATTGAGGTGTATGTGAGGGAACTTTTAAAGCTCATTTTGAGTAATGCCATGGCCCAAGACAAGATGGATATTTCCACTCTCCATGATAAGATTGAAAGTCACTTACGAGCTCTTGAAACTCTAGGAATAACAAAAAATAATTGTGCTTCGATGTTATTTCCCTTGATCGAGTCATGCTTACCTGAAAATCTTTTAAGAGCTTGGCAACGTTCGGCTCAATACGTGAGCAGTCTAAAACAGAAAACAGAGATTTCCGATGAAGAATC